TCCAGTTATTAAAGGATGATCTACAGAAAGTCCATGCTGGGGTCTCATTGAATCAAAAGGGAAATGGCTGGTGTGAGTGACATACAGACCTTCTGTAAGATGTGTTTTGGTGACACTATCTTATAGATTCACCTGTACCAGCACTTGCACAAAGGAAGTGGAGGGTGTGTATCTTCTTTCGTATTGTTTTCTGCCTTGCCAGAGAGGTATCTCTTTGGTTTTAAATAATGTAATGTAACGTACATGGTGAGAAATGAAAGGTAGGATTTCAGTGGAGTCTCCCTGAAAATAACTGTTTCATACTGAGGTTTTGCAGTGGAGTCAGAAGACCCCTCTGGCTTTGGGACCCTATGCTGGCCAGACTTGTGGCAGGTGGGAATGCGTTACCTGTAAGCATATGACTGAAGGCTGGGGAAGAACCTGGGCAGTGGATTCCTCCTTGCTGCTCTGCAGGGATGTTCCCTGTTCCAATTCCACAACCTACTTCTGGGAGCCCCTGGCTTGAGGAAATCTGGGTGCACACTGGTGATGACTAGGAGCTGTCATCTTCATTCAGGAAGACAGAGAACAAGGGGGTGTGAAGTAGAACTGCAATGAGAGAAGTAGGAATGCATGCATAATGCTATGGGGGGCACCTTTTCCTTCCTACCATACACACAAATAGAAATTATTGCTTATCTCCCTCCCTTTGCTTAGCTATCCATGGTATCCTGAATAAGGAAAATGGTGTGTTAATAGAACAAAAGTTGTTAGGTGTTCATATGGCGAGGAAAAAGAGAAAATCTGGACATCTGACAGCTAGAAGCTAAACAGGAGTTGCAGCTGGACAGAAAGGTCAAAAGTTAAGGTGAGCCACTGGCCGTTCCTGAGATGTTTAAACAAGTCGGTTCCTTTGGGTAAGTTTCAGTATCCGGGGACACGTTTTGCTGTCAGTCAGTCCACTGTAAATCTGGAGCTTTAATGGAGTTTTTCTGTGCTCGTGCCAGTACAACTGAGAGTAAACTTTGGCTCTGGTTACATCTATCTAGAGCAAGCTGCAGCTTGCCTTATCCACAGAAGAATTCCTGTTGACTTCATAAAGTTTTTCATGAGCTGGGACATCTGGATTTGGTACAGTAATACTTAACATTGGGATGTTGCTGTAAATGCTAGGATGTTTACAGAAATGAGAGACAAATCAGACCCCTGCTAACTATTTAAGGTTAGGAAGCATAAGGTTTCTTCCAAGAAAAATACCTGAGTGCTCTAGTGCAGCACCTGCTCCCAGTATTCTCTTCTGCAGGAAAACCTGCATTCAGGAAGATTAAAATTAGCTTCCCTGGATTCCTGCATAAAACTGTCAGCTTGAGAATCTCCTGTGACTAGCAACTGCTAATTGCACTAATTCCCTTAGTGTCAGCAAAACTGTATTGGGCACTGAGCAGCTGTCTCACATCCCTTGGGAGTTCCAGCCTCAAGTCTACCCTGAGCCAGGGCATGCATCGTTTGATAATTAAGCCCTCAGCCTCTTTTCCAAGCTCACAATAAGTGAGAAATTAAGGATGGCAATGGTGATTATTTAGCAAGGGAGAGGTTTCCTTTAGATACCCTTCCCTTGTACCTGAGTCTAAATTTCAGAGACTTTCTGAATTAGATGCACTGTATGGTTACACTTCTGTTCCTCAGTTAGACCCCTTTTTAAATACAAATTGTGCATCCAAAGCAGAAACTGATTTAGCCTGGTTTTCTACCTCTGGCCACTCACAATCCACTCCAGCATGTAAATTTAAAATGAATAGCCATCATGACAACTTGGAAGATATTAGCACATAAAAACCTTCGTGAGTTGCTTCAGTTACAGTAAGAACTTGTCATAAACCAGCAGGAACTCACTGTCTGCAATGTGGCAAAAGTGTTTGCAGGTCTCTGTGCCAGAGGTTAGCTGGCAGTGAGAGGGAACTGCTGCTGCTGAGGTGGAATTAACTGGCTGCAGCTTACATGGATTGGTCAAGTGGATGCTAAGCCAGTGACTCAGTGGTAAACAGTGCTGGGGCTCTCTCTCTTTGCAAACCCTGCAAGCACAAGAAGGATCTCCCCTTCATTTTGCAAAATACCAGAGGTTTTATGAATAATTTCAAAGGTCGTATAGAAAATAAAAGGTTTTCCTCACCCTGGCTGGTGCAATTAAAATGCTTCCTCACATGTTTGCCTTCTTGGGATGTTAGCATTAGCCTTGAACCTGAGATGTTGCTGGAGCTCTGTCCCTGATTTGCCCAGCAGCAGAAGGACAGTAGGACTTGCTGGTGCTGTTTTCAGCAACCCTACAGGCATGGCTTCACTTGCTTGGGAACTGAGCCCCAGCTAACAAGTTGCATGCAGGTAAAAATCTCACATGGCTGGAGATCACCTCTTCCACATCACCAACTGGATGTACCATTAACAGCAATGTGAAGCTGAATATTATCTGTGTATTCCTAATCCAATATTCAGCATTTCCTTGTTACTTTTCAGAGAGACTTCATGTATACACTAAAGGAGGAGAAAGACACAGCAGGACCTTCCTCTACCGTATCATTTTTCAGCTTAGGGGCTGCTTTTCCTGCATTGCCAACAGGAGGAGAGTACTCCAGTCTTCTCTGAAAATGTCAGTATGCCACCACTCCAGTGCTTCAGGAGGTGTTTTTCAGATCAGCCCTTCTGGTACTCAGCATTGAGCTGCCTTGCTGGCAGTTCACCTGTGAAACAGGGTGACCTGTGCTTGGGAAGAGGGTATTTCAGAGAAGTGGTTTCCAAGGCATCATGTGCTGTCAGAGTAGGCACCTCCAGAGCCTTCTGGTTCCAGCAGCATTTTTAGGTGGTTCATCAAAATTAGGATTTCATATTGAGGAGTAGGAATGTCTCTTCAGTACCCCAGTCTGTGCTAACCATAGCACTCCTCCCTACCGCATCCAAAGATGTCAGTATTTACAAGCTTCTGAGGTCTTTTGGTATCTATACATGTACCCAAGTCAGACTTTCCACTGAAGTAGCCAAGTGGTACACACTACCTTCAGCACCAAGAGGGTCATTACAAGGAAGAACCTGAAAAACGAACTACACTTTCCTTAACATGAACTCCACATAAGGATTTGTTCCTTCCACTGTTTGCTAAGAGCTGAGCAAAAGTATCCTGCATCTGACGGGAAAAACAACAGATACTCCTTTCCATTCCTGTCTCCTTCCTGGGGACACTGTGTCCCTGTGCGAGGCACAAATGTGAGGGGAGAGGTCCTCCAACTCTTGCACACAAGATATTATCTATCTCCACAAGCCAAGTTCCAGATCCCCAGAATCTATATTTAGCAGCACTGATGAAACTGAAAATAAACACCTTGAGTTACATGTAACAGTTTTCTTTTTTGGTCTTTATCCTTAACTGTGTCTCAGGTTGATGCGCTTGTTCCCTCATTAGAATTCCAGGGCCACAGGGTAGCTGAGCTGTTCCTTGGTCAGCTGCTGGTCTCAACCTTAACTCTGTGCTGTGGCTGTGAGGCCCATTGGTAAGCTCAAAGAGAGGAACCTGCAGCACTACTAACACTGGAGTATAGTGTAGGCCTGGCTTCTTGCTCAGTCTTCACTCAGCCTGCTCTTCTCAAGAAGGAATTGGCATTGGAGAGGTTTGCACTGCTACTATTTAATGTAATGTCATTCATTAAGGAACTTGCCAGTGGGTCGCTTAGCTACTGAAAAAGAAGACATCAGGCCATAAAAGGTGCTTCAATTATTTTTCAAAGAAAGTTTTTGAAGCTGCAACACTTGCTGTCAAGTATTTCACAACTTAAAAGTTGTCCTGTTAAAGCAAAAAGATACAGTATCAGAGGAAAAGATACAGTAACAGAGTTGTTTCAGTGACAAGTTGTTTGCCATTATGTAGAAAAGGTTTATTGTATCTCTGTTGATACCAGTGGAACAGGCACTAGGCTGGCCCCTAATTTCAGTGACCATTAACCAGCTGGGTGTGGTAAGGGGTGAGGCAGTAATTAGTGGTTTTCTGACATATTGTTCCAGTGATCTCTGAGTTAGTGAACTGCTCGATTAAGTTAAAGCTTGATAATATTTCATTAAGATGGTCTGAATTATCTACTCAAGCAACCAGAGACGAAAGCTTCCAAACCAAGCTTTGTTCCCTGAGATGTCCATCCCCACTGCATTTGTTCCCATGAATGACAAAAACTTCCAAGAGTTTGGCAAAACAGACCCGAGGAAACATCCCTATGAAATGCTGACTGCTCCCTTCAAAAGGCACATGTTACACTAGTGCTGTCAGCCATGCACATACAGATCTTAAATACCTTTCACTGATACAAAATGCTTCATGAAAGTCCAAACTTTGGACTTTGAGTCAGAGGTTGAACCAAACATGATCCAAAGGAAATAAGTCTTTTCCTAAAAATAAAACCCGTATATGACCTGGACTTGTTCTGTACTATATACAGCATCACACATTAGGGGCTCATAAAGCATAACTTGTAAGTTGAGAGCCGAGTTGTTACTCTACTCCTGTTTCTATAGATGACCTGGGTTTTCTAGGAAAAATACACTTTAAACACCATATCCAGTTTCTGTAAAAGTTTTTTCTCGAGCCATTTTCCTTTGAGAATGCTAATCTAAATGCCTTTTTACCGCTAAATGTCCTTTACTTCACAGTAAAGGATTTATGGGAAAGCTGCAGTGAGTGGCAGGAGGTATATCACAGGGAACAAAACATGGCTTACAGGATAGAGTGGAAGCATTAAGACTGTAAAGAAGAACATTCCTGAGGTTCTTGCTGGAGCACAATTCCATGTTAAACTGACTGGGAATAAAAATAATATAACTCTTAAATGTCAAAATATTTTTTTAACTTTTTTTTTCCTTTAATTAGCATTTTCTAAAACCTTCCACTTTTATAGAAAAGATGCTATTCCCTATTCAGGATGAATATAAAAATCAAAATATTAGGAAATTATGAAAAATGGGCATTCAGGCTTCTTTTTTTTTTTTTTTTATTAACTCTACTTATTTCATTGTACTTCGTGTGTTTGAGCCTCTGAATAGTTGTGTTTTCATGTAAATTCCAATGCAGCAATCCTTTATTGATCTTTAAGTAGACAGGATTTTGTTACATCTGAATTAGGATTTAATATGATGAAGAATCAACCTGGACTAGGCTGTATAAACTCAAATGCTTAACTTTAACGTTTATACAGAAATCAGTGAAAGCCTGCTCTGTACCCAGGATATGACTGAGGTGGAGATTCCAAGTACCTTTTTTTTCTGAGAAAAATTCTCCAATCCTAGTAAAGTCTCATCCAAATTAAACAAATGGGTTATTTTTATGCCTTCAACTGTGGGGTTTTATCCTTGTAATCAGTTTCATTTAATTGCATCTCAGTGAAAACTATATATTCCTGCAGTCAGGCTCACTGTAATAATGTAGAACTTACTGAATCTGGACTGACAGATCATGCTAGACTGTGGATGTCACAGGGGAAGTGCCCCCACAGGTACAGTGGGCCCTCTAGGCTTTAATCTGAATTCAGATGTCTCACTCAACACCTGCATGTCAAAGGACAGAACCCAAATTTATCTTTAATTATTTCTTATCCCTCCCCATCCCCCGTTAAATAGTAATTATAATAGAAATTGGTGATGTTAATGCAAAGAGACTCCAGGCTATCAACATGGCAAAACATCAGAACAAAAATAGCAAACCAGCATCCATCCCATCACTTTCCTGAGTTCATCTGCAAACCTCTGCAGCTTAATGTTGTCTGATCATCACAAGGGCTTGTCATGACTCAGCAAGACCTGTTTCCCATCTGACATAAATCAGCAGAGGCCCAGAGAAGTCAGATGAGGAAGGCTTTCCCTGATGGCTCTTTCCAGAATTGATGATAAGAGCTTACTCTTGTCATTCAGTATTGGTTTCTGAAGGGCTGAGGAGGAACCAGCAGGCCTTTGTAACTGTCCCTTCCAGCAGTAGCTGGGAATCCTACTGAAAAATGAAATTTTGTGTGGTAAGAAGGGGAGCAGAAATACACAACTTCAGGTTGAATTTTGCAATGTGCTCCAGTCAAAACTAAGGGGAACAAAATTGTGAAAATATGGAAATATTTTGCTTTGACATTTTAATGACTTTTCATTGGAAAAGTAAAAAAAAAAAACTATTTCAATGTAATCAGAAATAAATACATTAGTTGGCTTTAAAATCACATTTCTCATTTTGCAATTAACCTAAGGGGAAAATTGAACATTCAAATTGATTCAAAATATTCCTATTTGTTAGTCTGCTTGTTTTATAAGAGATAAAAATCCAATTAATTTCTATCCAGACAATATTTTTTTTTTTGTCATTTTCTTTCTTACATTTAGAAATTGATTCATAAAAAAGTCTTTATTTGTCCAAATATGCTGACAACACTGAAGTTACTGGAAATATCATCTGTTATTTGTCATGGTTTGGCCCCAGCTGGCAACTCTGCCCCACACTGCCACTCACTTGCTCCCCACTGGTGAGATGAGGGAGAGGATCAGAAGTGTAAAAGTGAGAAAAGTCATGAGTTGAGATAAAGACAGTTTGATAGGTAAAACAAAAATATCAACATTGTTTTCAGCACAAATCCAAAGCACAGCCCCATACTGGCTACTATGAAGAAAATTAACTCTATCCCAGCCAAAACCAGCACAGTAAGAAAACAGCTTTGCAGCATAAACCAAACAGTGAAAAAGGAGCAATGTTTATACTGGAGCTCTCTAAATCAAGCTCAGAGGATTTTATTATGGCTGCCTCCCAGCTCGGAGGATCCAGGAAGATGATTAAACACAAGAGATTTGCTCCTCACAATTCAACAGTGAAACTGCAAGAAAAAACCCCAGCGCTTCTGCCTGCATTACTCCAGAGCTGTGTACAGAGCCTAAACAGTAGCTCTTCTAAGCTACCAAAGAAATTCTGGGTAAAAGGGGGATATAAATCTCCTGCTACTTAGTGTTCTCCATCAATGCAAGTCCTATCCATCAAGCGTGCACCCTGTGCTTCTGCAAGCCAGAGGTCTCCATGCCATGGGTGAAAGTTTGATTCTAAAAAAAGACCCAAGCCCTCATTTCAAGATTTTGAATCCATGTTCTTTCTGCTGTAGTGCACAGCTAGAATGAATAGCTCTTTATTTATTTTATTCTTTAGGAATGAAATGTTCTGTTTCAGACCCTGGAATACATGTATATAAGGCAATGACCATCTAGCTATAAAATGGGCTAATGCTAACATATTAACAAGCTGCTAAAAATGATCACTTAATTCCAGATCTCTGATTTACACCTGAATGACCCTGAAAGCTATAGTACAGAAAAAGGAAATGTTTATATGCTCAGCATTAAAACCAATTTGACAGACTGCAGAAGCAGAGTAGTAGTATGGGCAATGGCCTGCTGTTGAAAAGGAACCTTTTTTCCCCCCTACATGCCATGTTTATGTCTTCTGGTGCTGCAGCTGAGGTGGCTTAAACTACAGAATAGCATACGTATTTAACAATGAAGCACAGGTGTCTGTATTTTCTCTAGCTTCTATTGCTGCTGCTGCTACTAATCACTTGAGCATCTGTGAGGACTGCAGATGTGCCCAGAAAATTTTATGACCATGAAGAGGTAGTGTAAACTTAATGCACCGTTTTAATAACTAATATCATTAGTAAGATATTAGAAGCATTAGGCAGTGAAAGCAAGTATGCCTGTTCTACAAAACTATAAATTTTCTTTAAAAGACTGACAGACACTAAGCAAAAAGCTGATGTTTCTCGAAGTCCATGGGACAGCTTTCTCCACTTACACTCCTTGGATTAATAATTTGTAATGTGAATTAATGAAATGTGAAAAAAAATCAGGATAAAGAGATGTGTGTTGAGCAAAAGAAGAGGAAAAACATTCCTAGAAGCCAGTGCATTCTGCAAGTGGAAGGAAGAGGCATGTGAGACTGAGTTTTAGGTTTTGAACACTATCAACAAAAAGTGATGTGTATTTTGGATCCACTACCTTACACAGTGAGAGTTTAATCATGTCTGGCACCACCTGTTAGTTTGAAATTACTTTAATGAATGTTCATTTTCTCCTCTTGAGGTGATCCGATTTGAGAGCTAACAAAGCCTGGCTCCTTATGGATTTGCATGTCACCTGCCGCCAGTCTGCTGTCATAGCACTAGGCTCTGTCAAGCACAAAGTTTTGTTTCCCTTCAAGTTTTCTGGAGCATCTACCTTCTGCCAAGCATCCAGAGAATCCTCCTCAGAGCCCCTGGGCTGGAAAGGACCCTGGAGACCAGCTGGTCCCAGCTTCTGTTGAAAGCTCGTGCTTATCCAGGACCTCATCAGGACAAGCCTGGAGTGTTCCTTCTCCAGACATTTGCACAGTGATAACCCCAGCAATCTCTCATATCCCTTTTGGTACTTCACCAGCCCCTCCACACATTAACCACCCACACCACCATGATCCGCTGCCAGATGGGAGGCAGCATGAGGCTGGCAAGATGCATCTTCACTGGGTTAATGTGCCAATGGAGCTGTCAGCAGCCCACTTCCAAGGGGGAAAATGGAAGGGAGGGAAGTGGCCCTTCTCCCTCTCAGCACTGACAAGGTTTCCCTTCTCCATCTGGGTGTTGTCCTACACATGCCATGTGTGGAACCTCACTGTCCTGCGAACTACACCTCTCTCAAAGATGGCTGACGGTGGGCAGCAGGCCCAAAAGCCACCAGGTACTGGCAGGCTCATGATGTGGTGCTCTACACTAACTACCTGTGGCTCCTGTGTCTTTGGGTGCCTCACTGCAGTATACTGACGTGCCCTTTCAGGTGTACTAGGGTGAGAGCCAGAGCAAGCCTGAAGCCTGTGCCTAAGACCCCCCTCAAACTACCCCACTCGAAACCCAGGCTATGCTTGCAGAGCCACATCTAGGCTGTGCCCTAAGGCTGGGAGCCCTGATGAGCAGAGCAGGCGCCTGCAGCTGCTGCAGTGCTTGGCTCAAGGAGGAGAGCTCTCTCTTCCCATTTCTGTACTAACAAAATAAATGTCATTGTTATTAATGATGATTGCTTTTAATGGAGATGTGTAGTGCACAATGATAGAAATGTTCCCATTATGAAGGTCTGAACAAACAGCCACTGCTGACAAATCTCTTTGTCTCCTAATATTTCTTTACTAACTTTCAGACTTCTGATGATGCATATACTGTCTTTGTAAATTCTCCAATACAGTTGCAAGAACCTTTATGAATATTATGTTTGCTTATCAACACCCTATTAGCCACACGGCACAACAGCCTGATGGAGAGAACAGAATTGTTATTGACATCAGATAATTTTATTTTTCCTCCTAAGCTGAGCTAATAAACTGTTTTGTTTAAAGATCCACTAAAAGAACCATCAAGATTAATTCTAGGGATATTCCTCACCTAAAATGAGTGCCTTTGCACATGACCCCTGTAATAAAGAATGAGGCTAGCAGAATTTGCTTTGGTCTGCTTCAAACTGTAAGATCTCATGTTTGATTTATGTATGTATGATGCTTAGTGTCTTAGCTTCAGTTATGGCCTCCCTCCAGGCCGTGCAGCCCTACAAATTTGGGGTCCTGTAGATCAAAGTCTCGCAGTCAGAAGGCTCTTGAGCTTTGCCTTAGTTTACTGCAAGGACTGTGACAAGCACCTACAAGCAGCCGGTCAGACAGTGTCCCTAGGGAAGGACAAACAAGCCACACAGCAAAAAGCCTCCCTCACATCCTCAGCATGGCCTCTATTGAAATGCACACACACGCTGGCTGCTGCTGGGCCACAGACACTAGCTGGCCTGTGTTAGGCATTTCAGACATGAACAGTGACTCAGACTCACAGGACAGGCCACTTCCCCTTTTTGTGGTGATCTAGTGCCCTGTGGTTTGAGCAGGGAATTTCTAGGTCATGTGCTGGACAAATGGCCATTGATCAGGCACGAAACTGTTGTACAGCCCATGCAAAACACACTGGGGGCAGCCGGCTGTGCCAGACTTACCCTTGAACCTTCAGTGCTGAGAGGACACGTGCTTGCATGCACCAAGGGCTTTGGAAGTTCCAAATCCAAGCACCTTACAGTGCCTGCACAGAGCAGTTACATGGGGTCAGCAGGATGTGCTGGCTGTACCATGTTTGATGTGACAATGTGAGCAGGTCTGGGCCAACTTCCATGTTTCTGTGAGAAGTTCAGCGTAGCCCTTCCCACCACGGATCCTGACTCAGCAGAGCACTGAACTCACACTGCAGTTGATGTGCATGTGTCCTGGTGACTGGAGTAGGATTTGAGTTTTAGTTTCTGTCTTTGCTGAACTGGGCTCTGGAGCAAACTCAGTTTCATGTACTGTCTAGCAAATAGTGGTATTAGAAGCACAGTGTGGCTGGCACCACTATAGTTTGGAAAATACGCTGGTTCATGTGATTTTAAAAGCCGTAATTTTGTTTCTTACAATAAGAGGCTCTTCAAAGACATAAGGCAGAAACGAAAAATTAAAAATTAAAGCACCAAAGTATGGACAGATGTAAAGCATGCAATGAATGACTTTTCAGTTCATGGACAGTCTCACTCTTAACTATGTGACTGATCTGAATCATTCACAGAACAATTACGCTGAATGCAGTAAACGAGAATTTCTCCATCTCAACACTGCTATTACGAAGACCTAAAGTTTGAAGATATATGGACTACTATACCCTTTTTAACTCTGGAGGACAACTTTTTTGTTAAAATCAATTTGGTATGTTATGTGATTGTATTGGGTTTCTGTGGCAAGGTTTTGTGGTAGGGGAGCCACAGGGGTGGTTTCTGGGAGAATCTGCCAGAAGCTTCCCCTATGTCTGACAGAGCCAATGCCAGGGGGCTCCAAGATGGACCTGCTGCTGGCCAAGGTTGAGCCCATCAGCAATGGTGGTAGCACCTCTGGGATAACACAGTCAAGGAGTGGGAGATACCAGTAACTGCAGACAGAGAGAGGAGGGAGAATTCAGTGTGCTTCATTTGGACATAGGTTATGAATAAGGTTGAAGCTATTCCAAACAAAAATCTTAGGTTTATGAAATGAAATACTTCAAAATAGCTGTTTGAAACTTTCACATAGTATTTTTTTTTTAATTCTTACTTCACGGGAAACTCTGAAAATTTAACTTTTCCTTCCACTTCATGACAAAATGAAAAGTCAAAGTAGAAGCGTTTCATAGAGGAGAAATTCTATGTATTGACCAAATTCATTGTGAGATCATTAGCTGAACTAATGCTTGACCATGCAGACATATGTATATTCATATTGCTATACATTCCCATGTAATTTTATTCCAGAATTTAAGAATGCATTAAAATAGTCACTAGCTAATGCAGGTGGGAAAGAAATTTTAAACACGTTAAGTAAATCTAGATTTGCATTGTGATACCTCCGTTAAACCTGCACAGAGCACGTACATCTGCAAGGAACTTGCAGTTCATCTCTATGAATTAGGAAAATGAAGATTGATAATAATTTAAATATATTACCTTTTCACTGATGATAATTGGAGCGGAAATGCCAAGCTAATGTGTTTATCTGCTGGTAATGAACGGAATGACAAGCCAGGGATGAGCAATAGCTGGTGCTGCAGACTGCAGTGGCAGGGATGTGGGCTGCTGTCTGACAAGCTATCAGCTGTTCTTGATCCAGGTTAAGTTATTGCTGAATTACTATCTCCCAGCTGCTCATAACGTCTTCCTCTTCAAATCCTCATCTCTACCAGCTCAGCTGAGGTTTCTGAGGTTACAAAGGGAAACAAGTATTTTACATAGCAGAAGGTACACTGAATTTAGGCCACTGTGTAGAAGGAAGCAGGTTACTGACTGATGAGCCAGACAGGCAAGTTAGCAGAAGCTGTGCCCACCAGCAGGTTTTCTTAACAATGTATGCTCTTTCCCTTAAGGCTTGCAGCTGCAGGCATGTAACCCTTCATGTAATTTTTGGTGAGAGCACTCAAATACTTTCTGGAATGAATCCGGAAACATACATGCCAGTAATTTTAGGGTGGCCTATCTTGCAATTTTATTCTTCAATTTCAATAAAATCATCACAGCTTTAAGGGACTATTTTAAATTTTACAGTGTGCAGAAAAGTTAACATGTAAAAGCTTGAAAAATAAAAAGAGAACCTGAACATTTGAGATAGTGAAAAACTTGTTCTCTGAGGCATATTTATTTAAAATAGACAACAGCCACTCTTTCCTGCCCCTCTCCAAGTATACTACTTGTTTCCATATTTCATGAAAAATGCTAACCCATGAAAACTCAAACCCAAACCATTTTGATGCAGGATGGCACCATGTTTCCTGCAGTTACAGTGTGATTACTTTGTAATTCAATTGTCCTCTATAGATAAGATTTTCTGGCTAAGCAGCATTTTTGGGGGAATATGGAGCATATCATGAACTCTGCAATGAGGCCAGAGGGGGTTTATATCTCCCATTATGAGTCAGAGTTGTCAGTAGTCCGCCTTCTGATAATATGCCAAGTAGTAATATGTAAAAAATATTTTGCCAAATTTTTCCATAAAATATTCTTTATTTGCATCAACCAAATTGTCCCAACAATAACAACTCCCCTTTTTTGCTATTGATACTGAGGGCTTACAATACTGGATTCTTCTCTATTGACATGCAATGATGTCAAACATGCCTTATATATGTACAGTCAAATATTTGCAGCAAGTCACATATAAAAAGTTATTGCAGATAAAATTAACTCAGCATTTCACTTGAACACTTTTTTTAACAAGTGTTAAACCACTTCTGAGGTCTTTATTCACTCCTAGTATTAAAACATCAGTATCAGCAGTGCAGCCTCAGGAATGACCCCAGGGAGATAACCAGCTCCAGCCCCTGCTGCAGGCCCCTCAGCCACCTGGCCTCAAGTAAGGGCTGAGTGCCTGGGAGGGATCTTTGAGCACCATGCGAACAACAGGCAAGAGAAGATGCAAGAAATACTGTAATAACACACCTGAGACAAGTCATTTTATAACAGCCGATGGCCAGTGCAGTTATAAGGATGTTGTACTACAGAGGCCACCTTCCCTAGCCATCTTTTATCTAGCTATTCCCTCACCTCAAATTCTGACACCCCATGACTTAATTTACCTTAGGCTATTCTTTCTACAGGCAGACACTAGTACTTGATTCCTTTTGGATGTTCCACCTGAAAGGCCAGACTTACAAAGGTACATCTTCCTCTATTTGAGGCTGAGCTGGTGTATATTTAGATACCTCTCAGTTCTTAGAACAAGATTTTCTAACCCTGCCTCAGGAATTTTCTACTTTTGTTTTTCCATTTTATTCTAATACTCACAGAAGAAAGCGCAGACATAAGAATGGGAGAAATTGTTTTCTTTGTAGTCCTTCACTTTTTTTATCCTCAGCAGAAACAAAACCGATCAGCAATCAGCAAAGTTGTTATTTCAGCCTTACACTCACAGCTAGATAGCAAACTATTTAACCATGATTAAAGAGGCAAAAGTCCCATCAAAACCAATTTGTGTTTTGCCTGCATTATTTGGACTGGTTCTTTATATTATTTCTAGAGCAGCCTATCCAGTGTTGTGCATAGAAAAAAAAAAAGATCTGTACTGATGGTAGCTTACGGGATAAATTACACATCTGTAGTTCCAAAGGAAAACAAATCACAAAGACTTTGTCTCTCTCTGGTAAGACAATGTAATGTGGTACCAGAAAGCACACAATGTTACTTGTTCCTAGAGGAGTTATAACTAGGTGACATTTACAAGCATTCAGCTAATGAATCATGGGCTCTTGAAATAGGAGAGGAGTTTTCTAATGGGAACACTGTAATATTCCATCCAGGACAGATTCTTTCATGCTGTGGAATACTATATCATTATGATATTAGCAAGAAGATTTGTTATTCAAAGCCCAGAGGAGAATATTTTGTAGATCAGAAGAGAAAATATTGTATCATATTCTCAATGTTTATGAGATACCATGACACAAAATACAATTATCTACTTGATAGTTTTCAGGTGGTAGAAGTTTAGATATTAATGACAGCTACCTCATGACAACAAGGTTTTATGAACTAGTTTGTTTCTTTAAAGACATTCCATTCTCAAATGCCACCACACTGACATTAAACAAGGGAAGAAATCAAAGCAGAAGGCAATATGACATTTTGGAAATGGACTCAAAACCAGATGCTAGGTCTAAAAGTCACAAGATTGTAAATGCACTCAACAAACAAAGCCTGACAAAAACAATACTAAGGTTTGCTTCTGCTTCTGGATATAAATGTCAATTATTGCTTCAGACTTACATAAGTTGTTCCACACAATACCACAGACTTCCATTTAAAAGACAAAACCCCCAAAACTTTAGCAATATGTGATCCTATTAAATCACTGTTTAGTTTATCTTGTGATTCAAAACCCTGGCAGCCCAATGACATCATATTAATAAAATACTTTTGAAGGGCATAAATAAGGCATTTACCATTGCACCAGATTTGTTTTTCCTAACAGGACCTAACCTAGCCTAATCTAGAACTGGGGAAAAGGAGAAGATTATGGCACCATAAGGAGGGCACATTCCATACTAACCATTGCTAATGTGAGAAAAAAAAACACCTCAGGACACATATGGAGAGTTGGTCTTAATTTGATCATAAGGGGTTGTCCAGAAGTGGTTGTCTTAAAAGAATTTGAATCTCCTTTTGTGTGTGTGTACTAGCACTAAATGCGTCGTGTTGACTCATTCATATGAATAAAACTGATGGGGGAGGATAAGAAAGCCTGAAAAAATCATGGTCAACCTTACATTTTCTTCAAAATGTACAGCCTAATAATGTCAGCATCTATTTGCTGTAGCTGATTCCATTTTCTCCTTGTGGAGTAAAGTAAATTTTTGCTACACAGATTTTTTACATTTTGGAACAGTGACATTGAGTTCTTAGACTAACATTTTGGCAGAGGCCTTCCTCAGCCTTACCCTGTTGTTAGCACTTACGAAGTCTAACGTCCTTGAATTTAAGAGGATTCAGCCCTCCGTGTCCAGGCAAGCAATGGGCCTGCTGTAAGAAAATCTTATGGCTTCAAATGAAGTCCTGGCTGTTGACTCATTCTTCAGACCTCTTTCTTTGGTATTGCACAGTATCTTTAACTGGGGCATTCCTAAACCTCCAGCACATGTTTTTATGAAGGAGAAGAGATAGCTACAGCCCTAGTAACTTTCCTGCACAGCTGTGACTGGAGGGAATTATGGGCTGAGAGCCCGATCAGTGAAGCAAGGTTTTATTTTTGTCTCTGCAGCTGACCTGGATGTTCAGTTCTGGGTATGTTGTAAGGGTGTGAAAGGGGTAGAATTTCTGAATCTAATCTGTTTTATTACAGATGGTGAAAGTTTTTCTTTTATTCTCAGTCTTTTTTTTTTGAAATTCACTCTTTTTGGAGAACTGGACCAGGACAATGCCGTGCATATCAAGATCTTTCCCCAAATGACTGAACACTTTCAGAATGCCCTTCCCCATTCCAACCAACATGCTGAGAGATTCACTACTGTTGCTCACTGGAGTTTTCCAGCATCATTTGCAAGAACCTGTTCACTATATATATATAGGCTTGGAGGGAGGGAAGGCTTTGTCCTTGGAAAAAGGGAGTGTGCAGGATGACAGGTTTGATCTTTAATTGGAGGGAGAAGCATTTAATTGAAGGAATGTCCTATCTTTTCTTTGCAGAGAATCTTGGTGAAATCAGCCTGCTTGGAAAGAGTGGAAACTAGGAAAATTACCATAAAAGGCTGATTTTACAAAAAGCTTAAAAATACACTGTCACTGTACTTCATTTTAAACATAAACTTCTAAATTCACTGTAATATTGCTCTCCTGGTAACACCCTCTCCCGAGTAGAATTGTTCTCTTCAGGATCACATTGGCAGCTCTGTGTCTTTCCCTGCTATGCCAAAACTGCCTCTAATTTATCTGCTTATGTTACATCTGTCATTTTTATCCTGAAGAACCAACAGTGTACTAGCCATTCTTTGAAATAGCCACAGTAATTGTCTTGCAGCTGCCAGTCACCAAAACATAATCCATAGCTCAGAATTTCTGATGTGGAAATTTGCTCCATCTGAGAATAAGCTCTGACAAACAAAGAACTATCATTCTATATAGCATATAGAAATTCTATGTAATTCTATATAATATATAGAAATTTTGTATGAAAAGATATTATATAAAACATATAAAGTAGACAGAAATATAAGCCTAAATAAGCAAATATGGGTATTTCCTTTTAGCATATCTAGAAATACTAGGGTCCAAGAAACAGAAACTTTCAGGCTCACAAAGTAAAAGGTATGTTTCAAGCCTGAGTTCAATTCCTAAGGTACCTTCTAGCATGTCTTTTATCATCCTAGCATTTCACACCAATATGTACAAGTAACTTTTTCCCATTTTGGATATGAGCAGCACTGCTGGTAACAGCTCTGAAACATAAGTATGGTTGGGAGAGTCAATACAAACCCAATGGTGTAAGAATAAAATGTCAAAGGTTAAACCCCATTAACTTACTTTCATTGTTCTGTTGCTGAGTGTATCCCTTGTATGACTAAAAGCACGTGATTAGAAATTAATTCTTAGACAAACTGCTAGCACCTCTTTCTGAATGAAAAACTGCTTAAAACACTTTTTGCTAGAACTACATGGGTTTTTAGTGGTAGAAAATGAATTCTGGTATAGCTGTGTTTGTGCAGCTGACCCAGGCTGCCTATAGCTCCAGGTCTCTGCCTGCAGGTTCAGGCCACTATCTACCTCAAATGACTTTGAATGAGCCTGTCTACAAAAATTTAAATGTTCCACTACAAGTTCTCTGGTAGCAGATACTCCTGCTTTGGCTGCAGGACAACTTATGTCTTGTGTCTCTGGGGTACAAGATGTACTGGTTTGCATATATAGGTGTCAGAGCTGTCTCTTAAAAGAAGATAGCTCATGTGTGGGGTCCCACAGAGTTGGTAGAGCTGTTCCTTCCTCTAGGAAGCTTTTGTTTTTAAGCAAGCAGCTTTGTGCATGAATTGATTTTTCTTTTATTTTTAGTTGTTTTTTTTTTTTCAGAGAAGCACATACAGGCCTGATAATTTGCCATTTCTTTTATCAGAATTGTACTAACTATGGCAGATATAGAGACTTGTCTCCATTCCCCACTCATATGGTCTCTTATGGTCCCATTAAGCAAAAGCTAAGGGACAACAGGGAAGCATTTCCAAGAGAGTGATTCATAAAGCGGTTCATTAGAAACAAAAAAGTTTTTTGTATCCTGGTGCAAATCACCAGCATGTTTTTAAAGTAAAAAATGTGACAGTGCTTTAAAATTTTATTCTTATAACTGTTTGAGGAGATTAAAACTGAAGTCTACTGTAACCCAAACAACTTAAATGTACTTATGCACACACGTCATGATGAGCTTGATTTGCTTGCCAGTGTACTCCTTTGAATTAGCACGTATGTGCAGAACCCAATCAGATTTTCCTGTATGTCTGATAAATACACTGCTTCCTCATCCATCCTAATGACTAGGAGCAACCATGCCTTCCTGTCAGTAAGCTGTGATAATGACTAAACCTAGGAGTTTTGAGGCACATAGAGTTGATAGCTTACTGGGGGCCCAACCAGCTGTGGTTGCATTCCAGTTAGTCACAACTCTCCTTCTACCCTACCATGATGCTGCCAAAGCTAGAAATAAGCTATGGGGTTGCATAGCAGTCAGTTGTGTGTAAATGATATTTTGACCCTTGCTTCTCCTTGTTGCCATCCATGGCACTCCTAAATTCAATCATCTGTAGTAGTATCACTTGACCTTCAGCTCCTTTCCCCCCTCAGATAAAACACTGAAGTGGCATTTATCACACCACCAATTCATTTTTGTAAGGGAAAAATTAAAAGAAATGAAAAGCACCAGTGGCTGACTGAATTTTGCTAAGTCTTCTGAATCAATCACCTGAGCCACTGCTAGCTGATATTTTACTTTCAAAACACTGTAGCTCTCGAATAGCATCTTTATTTCTAAAACAAATGACATAGTTTGGAATCACTGAAAACAGAAAGGTCACGTGGTACAGCAAGGCTGTCTAATAAGAATGTACCCAAACATATGGAATAAATACCAGTACTAATAGATAAAAACTGCTGAAGTGTAGCTATACAAAGAACTTGTTAGTGCCAAAGTGTTAGAAATCCAACAAAGGAGTTACATCTTTGTTATTTTTGTTTAATGTAGAACTTAATCTCCAGTAAAACCCAATTTTGTGCTATTAACCCCAGGAGATGCAAGGATCCTCCCAAGCACTACTGCTTCCAAGCCAAACTTTACATGAGCTCAGGGAGGTCTTATTGGTGCTGTCATGTCAACAATTGACACAGCTCCTTGCAAATGTGGCCTCAGAGGGCCCAACTCTTCCTTCTTTCCACTACTTAGACACACCTCCACCGGGTTCCCTCTGATTATGCTGTTATAAAACCTAGGCAGCTTAAGGAAGAATTCAGTCCTAAAGTGCTGTCCAGCCTAGCTGCCATCCATAATGAAAGATAGATACAACACCACATGGTGGAAAGTCTTCCCTTCAGACTGGAGACTTTGGACTGGAGGCAACCCCAACCTGAAGAGGCAGTGCGATATCCCAGGTGACTGTATCCTGAATGTGTGTATGGCACAAAAGCATTCTGGGTATCTTATTTACAAGACCACCACTGTCCTTTTAACAATCCCACTCTTTCCTCCTGCCTGAATGACAACTGCAAGGAAATTGAAAAGTAAAGAGAATGTGGTGAGATACAAATAATTATTGTACCAACTCACACTCTGTCCTAGATTATTAACTGTTTCCTCAGAGTTTTAGGTGCAGTAACCCTTCTCCAAGTTAAATAAACCAGTATCCATTGTTTCTGTACTGTCATTTTGCTTCAGAAATGGTCTTTTTATAAATCCATTTGAATTGGAGAAAACTGACCTATACTAAGATAATTTACTATCATTTAGATCTCATTGGAAGAGGCTCCCCTCTAAACAAACATTGCCTATCGTTTTCTCTCCAGATAAAATCAGACTTCTGCCAGTTGACAGCTTAGTCCCTGGGGCAGTAAAACTGGAAGCAGTTTTAATCATAATGGGACTATTCAGAGAACTTTTATTTCAGCTAAGAGGAGCAAAACTTCTACACCAGTGCAGCTGACTATGACATAGTTTCAACTCAGAAATAGCCTCATCATCTGCAGATTTCTCTGTAATTTCTCACAGTCTTTGGCTGAGATTATCACAAGAAATCAGAAGATGCCACCTCTAGTTAACCATTAAGTTTATGGTTTTCATTTTGAGATAGTTGAGAATGCCACAGAACTATTGTTTCAATATTTTGTTTCCTTTCAATCAATGAGGTTCACTAAGAATAGCTGAAATATATCACTGTAACTTATTACAGGTATATTGTGGCATGGGGTTTTTACCTGTGAAAAACTGCTCCAAACATAGCCACCATCTGGCAGTTTTCACTTTTGTCTTAAGAAAAGGGTGTTTTTGTGTGGTCAGTGCTGAATGTCTACTTAAATCCTGGGACATTGATTCAAACCATTAACGGCATTACACTTCAAAGATTGTAATGACATATTGATGTATTCATTAATGCATCCTCCCACGAGACTTGCAGACAAGTTGCCATGCAATAGCACATTATTTTTCTCCACTCAGAGAAAGCATTGATACTTTCAGTGTTGCTAGTTCAGAAGTCTATACCAAACCAAGGGAGTCCAATTTGTCAGGATTAAATATGTATTAACTTGAAGGTATTTATAGCCCAGTACCTGGGTCAGAGCACCAAGAATTTCCATAAAAGTTGTGTGGCACCCACCCAGCACAGCCTTCATGGTGATAACTAGGTAGGTGGGCAATTATGTTGACATTGAGACATCTGACCTGCTGTTGAGGTTGATTTTCCTGCCAAAAAAACCTTTTCATGTTAAAGAAAGATGGAGTATGACAAACCACCATCAACCCCCAAAATTCACATGAGCTTCTTCAGCAGCTTCTTTTATAATCCATGTTCCAGATGTTCGAAAAGATCAAATGTTACTACTATCAAAAAACTTTGCAAAAGAGAATCTGATTACTATGCTACTTCAAGACTTTATGCTGTTTATGGGATTCTTAATGACAGGAGAGGTATATTGTTAGAGAAGAAAGGCTTTTCTTGGAAAGTTATAAACATAAAGGCATTAAACTCAGTATCAGATTTCTTAATGGGCCTTGGTTGAAAACACAAACCCAGGAGGTGCAAAAAACTTCTCTTGAGGTCTCTGTTGTGTGAAAACAACCTGCTCCCAAAGCTGTGCAGTGTAAATTGCATATGTAGCTTTGTGGGCAGATCTCAGCTGTTTATTTTTACACACAGCTAAATACGAAGACTCAGACATTAGTAAATCTACTTGCAAATGCATTTCAGAAAAGTTTGCAATTTTTTTCCCTCTATATCTCCATGCAGAATGAATTTCTAGACACAAATGCCTGTCAGTGAAGAACTGCGACTGTGAGAATTTTAAGCTAGAAAGTGCTTAAATAACTCACATTTACTAGAAAGTGATAGCAAACAGATTGCACCTTCTACAACCTTACGAACAAATGTGGTTTATTTCACATACTGGTACCAGCTTACAGGAGTTTGTCTGCACACCTCAGCAAATGCCTTGGCATTTGATACAGGCTTTGCTTCAGGTGAGAGGAAAGACCTGAATTACATTGCCAAGAATCAATTTACAGTTCGCTCTTCTGTTGAGTTCAGTGACAGTGTCATGTACAAAACAATACTGGACCAGACACAGACATTTATTTTCCATTTATGAGTAATTAGAATGAAGTTTCATTCATTCTGGATTTAAGCCAGTAGAAAATAGCCTCTCCAGTTGTTCACCCATTGAATCTTCACCGACATTCTGGCTTGCAGGTCAACGGTACTAAGCCAAATTGTGCGATTATGGCTTGCCCGATTACCTTAAATAGCAGTTCATGAGAATGACAATGGTTGTCAGGTAGGTAGAAGGGGGAATTTGGGACTGTGAGCAAGTGTATGCACTAAAGCATTAGAGAAGCAGCAGATTCTTCCTTAAGTGACTGAGTGACCCGAGGAGTCTCAGCTGAAGTAAGAGAAAATAAATCCAAGCCACAGGAATTCATTTTCCTCTGTCAAAAGAAGCAGTTAAAATAAAAAGCCCCACTTCTGTCATAGAAGCCCAGTCCCTGCACAAAGTCAGCGATGAAAGCATTGCAACACCCTTTGTAATTAATACGTTACAGCAGGTTGCTCTCAGCTGGAGAGTATACTCCCCTGTGGTGAGAATAAGCAGCACAGCAAATTTCACCTGTCCCGCAGAAGGTATTTCCAATAAAAGGCAGTTGTGAAAGCCAGCAACTGTCTATGTGGATTCTGCCCAACAATTTATATAATTGCCTGGTGACCAGATGGAATTATTTTGCTTCGCTTCTCTGAGTCACAGAGCCAATCCCTACCATCTTCTGGAGCTCACTTGGTTAGACAATTATGTCCTGACCCTGTAATCAAGCCTATGAAGGAAATAAAAAGGGCCTGTCCTCAGGATCATGGAAGATCAAGGCTGTAGAATAAGGGTGGGGCAAACCTGAGAGTGCTTATTATAGGAAGAGCTGGCAATGATGCCTCATATTAAGGTAATCTTATGCTTTGTCTTACATACCTAACATGGAAATGATGTCTTACAGCTTCCTTTTATGTGCTCTTATTTTTAGAGTAAGAAAAGGTAAGACTCTCCTAAGATGCTAAATATCCAAACTTCCAACAGGCACATTTTACTTGCTCCTCACCGAACTTGGGTTAAGGCCTAAGAGATTTAGAGATTATTTTGTTTAAGGCCAGGCTGGATGGGGCTTTGAGCAACCTGGTCTAATGGAACGCGTCCCTGCCCATAGCAGGGGGGTTAGAACTAGATCATCTCTCTCAAACAGAAACCTACACAGATGGCAAGGAAATGTCTCTGGAAACTTGGTGCAGACAAGCAAGATTTTCAACAGGAAGTTAAAGAATACTATTTATTGTGAATTAACAAATTAATCTTCAGAGTCTCTAACTTTGCGGGGAAAAGGTGGGAAGTTTACACTAGTATCTTCCGTATTACTCGCAGCATGACAAAACACACTATACCCCCGCAAAATATTCATGCCTATCAGGAATACAGACCCTTGCAGCTGTAATACCCTGAGTAACTCCTGTCAAGCTACAGGCTTTTAACCAGCTGGCTTCCATAGTCTGAAAAATGGAACCTGCAAAGGCAGGCCCAACACCTTACACCTCTGCCCTCTCGGAGCAAGTTCAATTTTTTGGGGAAAAACCAACATTTTGCTCACTTACATAGAAGCCTGCAGGGTCACCATAACCCAAACACATAAAGTGTTATGCAAACACTGGCAATAACACCGCAGTCCCCATGGGGCCCTAGGTGAGCCGAGGGCGTTGCTCGCACAACAGGCAGCCATCGTGCCCCCGCCCGGGACACACCGGGTAACCCTGCTAACATGACACCGCCTGAGCAGGTCAGAGCGGGAGCCACCTTCCCCTGGGACCACCCCCGCCGCCTCACACCAACAGCCGCCAACAGACGCGCACGAACCCACCCCAATCGCTGATACCAGCGCGCATGCGCGAACTTCAAAGGGAGGAGGAGGCAGGCACGCGACATCCGGGTATTCCGTCCCCGCCCCGCCCCTCCCCTCCCGCCGAGGAGCTGCCGCCAGGGAAGAAAGGCTGGGCGGGCGCCTCGCGCGCTCCCTCACCCTGTTGCCCCGCCCCGCGCGCTCGCTCACTGGCCCCTGCGCGCGCTGCCGTCGGGGGCGCGGCCGTTGGGTAGTGAGGCAAGGCCGGGTGGGGAGAGGCGAGAGGAGCGCCGCGGCGGAGAGCCGGGATGGGGGAAGAGTGAGTCGCAGTCCAGTCGTCCGCAGCCCTTCCGCGCCCTGCTGCCTGCCGAGCGACGGCGACGGGTGAGCCGCAGGTGTCCGGGACCGGCGGGGCGAGCCGGGGCCTGCGTCTCCCCCGGCGGGGCTGTGTCCCGCTCCTCGCCGGCGCCGGCTGCCTGGCAGCCGGGTGGTAAACAAATGGCGGCCCGGCGGGGGCGAGCGGGGCCCAGCGCCGGCTCGGTCAGGGCCCCCGCCGGCCTGACAGGTCCCGGCTGGGAGGTGGAGAAGGCCGCGGGGGGCTTGGTGTGCGGCTGCTGCACCCATGTCTCGTTCTCCCTATCCGGCCCGCTCGCGGCCCTAGGTGCTGAGTGTGTGCCGGTGGTAAAGTGCCATGTAGGGTGGCCGGCGCCTGCCCCGCCCCTGCGCTTATTCCCTCCGCGGGCCCGCTGCCGCCGGGACCCGACGACGGCGGCGGAGCGAGCCTGCCGCTGCCTCTTAGCCCGCGGTGCGGCCAGCGCTACCCGGGGTGTCGCGGTAGCATGCTGGAAGGGGTCGGGCCGGGGTCTGCCTGGTACCGTAGAGACTGCAGTCCAGCGTCTCGTTCTTCAGGGAAGGAAAGGTGAAGAGGGCAAATAAGCCAGCGGTATCGTTGAAATCCTGTAGTGGTTCCTGTATTTGGAGTAGCTGTGTCAGACCATACAAGACGTGGTGGTTTGTTTTTTGTCAACGCTGTTTTTGATGGGTGTTAGTGATGTGCCTTGCAACCTTTTTTTCCTCTCTCCTTTATGAAGGTAAAGAAGGTTGCGTAGCTGTAGTCCGGTAACCCCACGGATCGGTAGACAGAAGCGTGTTAGGGAGATGACAGCAGCTTGTTAAGCAGCACGCATGTTTCAACAGTCGTGTGGCTTCTAAAAGTTCTAGCGCCACTTTTGTTCCCAGCAGGTCTTCCGAATTCTCCAGGGAGAAACCTCGTGGGCTGGAGGGACGGCTTGCTTTTGTTCTGTAAAGTTCTGCTCGGATTTGGCTGAGGAGCTTTTCATAATCCTTTTTTTCTCTTTGGCTGATTATGTTGTTAAAATGCCAAAATAAGTGCGTGTTACCTACTAATAAAAAACTGGGCCTGTGCTGCTGTAGAAACAGCATCATTTTGTAGCCACTTCCTTCTGCTGTTAGTTAATGCCATACACTTTAACTTGTGTTGTGAGAGGGTTAAGGGTCATGCATCCCCGCTGATGAGGTTGTTATGCTTATTTAGGATATTTCTCTCTTCAACCCTCTTGCTAAAGTGCAAAAATATTACTAAAAGAATTTTGTTGGTTAGCAAATCACATACCTGGAAGACTGAAAAATGTTCTGGGACCATTAATCTGTCTTCCAGTCCAAGTATGTGTAAATATTTGTGGATAATTTCTTCTTAGCAGTCAAATTTCATCCATAGAAGAAATAATTTGAAAGGGTGAATTTGGATTGCGTTGCAGGCTCAGACTTTTTATGTGCTCTTTGTCTTACTCTTTTCCAGAGTATCAGCAGGAGAATCCCAGTAGAGCAGGTGTAGGCTATCCAAAAGCAGGGTTTTACTTTGCTGCTTAAATATTGTTTCTTTTGCACGAAGGTCTCCTTTTACTCAGTTAATTTCTTAAATTTGGATTATATTTCCCTTGCCTCCTACTTTGATGTTAGAAGTCTAATGGACAAAATAAGTGCTTAGTTACACTAGCAATATCTGGTTGGAAACTTTCTGGGTAAGATTTCTGTACAATTTTTGGGCAACCATTTTTTTGACCTAAGTTCTAAAGAGTATCTTATGGTACCTTTGTGAAGGAGGCATGCATCTATTAGTCTCCAAGTGCACTCCCATAGCTGTTGTGGCTTTCAGCTTTGTAACAAACCTATGCTTTGTATTCAGTCCAGTTGAACTAAAAACAACAGCATTTCCTTCATACTGATAGACCCTATTTCTTTGGTGACATCTGTCTCAAATGGGGCAAATGCTGTTTGCCTCTGGCAGTGAGATCCGGTGGTATAGATATGGGAGGAGGGAATAATTTATTTAGTGATTATTGTAATGGTGACAATTTGCTTTCTATTTCCTTATGCACAATAAGAATAAAGCTAACTGAAGTATTTGTTGGTAAGATGGTTATATTGGATAAGGAGTAAGCATTCCTAAAGAGAGCATAAATAAAGAAGTAATTAAATTATTGACGGTTACAGAGAAAACCTGTGTAGGCTGTCCTAAGTATCTCGGTACCATCTAGTATCAATATTGAATAAAGGAAAAAGACTGAAAAATCTTGTAATACAGACTGAACTAAAAGAGGCCAAGAGAATTAAAATTGCAGGGGAGCTCTAGGTTCTGACTGATTTTGCAAGCTGCTGTTTTTAATAATTTCTGAGGTGATGCTTAATGTCTTGTTTTAAATATGTTGCGATCTGCTAATTCTGCTTGAATCTACAGTACCATGAAAGTAGTAGAACATCTGTGTAGAACAGTCTGTAGAGCATCTTAGTAGACTGTGCTGTTGTTTACCAAATGCCAAAGATTGATCTAAGCTCTTAATATGCAATCACGATGAAACCCTGGTAAGTTTAAACTTTGGGCATGAGAACAAGAGGTGCAGTGAGGTAAAGTTCTAGTTGGCTTAGGTAGGTGGTTCAGGCAGGTCACTGAATAGTGATAACTGGTTCAGACTTGGTTACATAGGTGCTGGGTGGTGGCTGGTGTTTAGTTTGAAGTTTAAGCTTTGTATTTGTTTAGAAGCTGTAGTTTTACAAAAGTCCTATGTGACAGAAATCTGTTGGAGTGACAGATTCTTTGCAAGCAGGATCTTTTTAGGAGTGTGCTTTATTGATGTAGCTGTAATTGCTTTCAAAGCCTTGTTTTAGCTGAGTCACTATTGTCATCGACTATGGAATGTGTTTGGATGGGAATGTTTAGCTGGAGTCTTAGGGGGAAAAAGTAATAGCATCAAGCCTGTTGACATTTGGAAAAGCAGTCTTAAGTGATACTAGAGGTCATAAATTGATGACTCATTGTGCATCTTAAAATCCTACACAAACTTGTAGTGCAGATCTTTTTTTTTTCTTTTTTTTTTTCCTAGTTCTTCATTCAAGTTAAAAATGTACTGAAAGAGCTGGTATAACATGTTCATTGGGATGTATTCCCAGCTTTCTATCATCATGTTTGAGATAAGTGAGGTTTTTGTTTACAAACTAGTTTTGCTTTTTTAACAGGATTTTTTTTTTTTAACTATTTTCTTATGGTTTTAAAGCCAAGCAGCTTGGAAGGGGAAAAAGCCAAACAGGTACTGCAAAAAACATCTTATATTTGATAAGACGGTGAAATACCTGCAAATAGAATAGTTTAAAGTTGTTAATACTGTCTCTGTTCTTGTTCTCCTTTCTGCTTAACTTGTCAAAATATTTTAGGACAAACTCCACATCTTTTCTACTTCAGTATTACCTGGTGCAGTATATGTGTGTGTGGTGTGTCTTAAATTTTTTTGCCTACTATCTGCTCCTGCTATACAGTGGTAAGGCCATGAAGGGTGTATTTTTAATAGAAAATATAACCTTATATGTACAGAGTACATGAGATCTGCATTTCAGTCTGGGATCTTGGACAGAAGTTAGGCTTGTGTTCCATTTACTTTAAAGTTTTCTAATTTTGCTGTGGGAACTGGTTAAACTTGTGCAGTAAGACCTGAAGCAGTGTATTAACAAGATTTTTGGCCTGTTCCCTGTAAATATACAGAGGTCAGGAATTCTGTGGCAACATGTATGAATTAAAATATTATGTAAGAAGAAGGATTTATTTTGGGTTTCTTTTGGGTGGCTAAAATTACCTTTTGTAATACAGAATGCATTATTTTTTTACAGTAATTCTGTTTCTGATTTCTGAGAAGTGACTTCTTTTCTGTCTTTCTGAAGAATTTGTGAGACAATATCTGGAAATAAGGATAGCATTATTCCTTTGGGTATATCACCTTGATTTCATTTCTCTTAAGTTTTGGTGATAATCCATGGGCATGAACACATAGAAGAAGCAGCCTGTTACAGTAAAGAGCTTTTTACTGTTAAGCAAGTACTTAATAAGTTCTTCTGTCTAAAGCTGAACAAATGTTAACTAAACTTAAATTGTTTGTTTTTTAGATTTTTTGTGGGTTTTTTTGTTTGTTTTTGGTTTTGTTTTGTTTTTTGTTTTTTTTTTTCTCTAGCTGTTGCAATCTTTAATTCAAGTTTGGGTTTGTTTTGTGTTTTCTTCAGTGGCTCCTGGTAGGCCAAACCAAAGAATGAAGGGAAGTAGGTCAGAATAGTACCTTTTAATAATCTATTGTAGCCTTGAATATAAATAGGTAATCATTGAGTGTGACTAACAACTATAAGCTAAAATGACAGAATTTAGGTCGCGCTTGCAAAGGATGTTTAAAACTTATTTTTCCATAAAACCCGCAAAATGTTTCAACGTTTGTAGCTCCAGATGGTGTAAGCACATGACCTTTTCAGAGGGTTGGGTCATAGGGAAAGCAATCTGTAAACCTGAAATGAAACCTTACTTCTGATCTCCTTTCTTGCAGAGCCTGCAGCAGTTGAGGAGTTGGACTGAGGTCAAGTTCAGAAGTGCTTTACACATGAAATCTACTGGCTCTATAGCTGATTCTGCCTTGTTACCATCTCAACAGGTAGCATGCTTTTGTGCCTGAGCCATGCAGTATGTGAAGCTGTTCTAGTGTGGTTGTCCTGTCAGTCAGTGTGACCAAAGGGCACACTGAAGCCTTTGGTTTCCTTTGGAGAATGTGTCAAGGAGACAAGAATGCATGGCAGATCTGTCACAAAAGTACTCTATGGAAAAGCCTAGTAGGTTTGGTTTTGATTTTTAACACTCAGAAAAGTTTAGTGAGAGAAGAAAGTTTTCTGTCATTCCATCAGTGGTTCTGTTCTAAAATGGAACAAAGATACATGGGGCATTGATGGAGTGTCTACTTGAGTCAAAGCAGTGTTTTGCTCTGGGTTATTTTCCCTTCTGAAGTTCTTTTTTGTTTGTTTGTTTTTTGTTTGATTGGTTTTGGGATTTTTTTGTTTGTTTTTTGGTTTTGTTTTCTTTCAGCTTCTGTAATAAGGTGCTTGGGGTAGGAGTAGACATGGAAAACCTTTCCTTTATAAGACTGACATAAAAAGTTTTGCTTCCTTATAATTCTAATGCTCACTATTTTTGCTTTAATTAGAAGTCGTCTTAGTTTGGTTTTGAGGTAGATGGGTAATTTACGCTTCAAAAAGGAGTTAGTATATACTCTTTCAATGCTAGATCGCAGTTAAAACTACAGTCTTTCTAGAAGTATGTGTCTCTGAAGTTTTTGCAGTGAGAAGCCATGTTTTGGACCTGACCTTTTTCTGCTGCTCTCATGTAATACATATAAATTGCTGTAGACTTATGATGATAATGGTAGTAGTAGTAGCATACTACCTGTATGGTAGTTTGGGCTTTAGTAATTGAAGCTCCTTCTTGTGTTATATGATTAACAAAAAAATAGACTCATTTTAGCATGTCAAATATGTGCAGTCGTTACCAGGACAGCAGATGCGCTCTTTGTTGTGGATGAATTTACGTTTGGGAATGCAGTAAAAACTCATCTGTCCAAAAATTTTGGATGTAGTTTTAACTTCGTTGATCTGCTTTGTTGCAACAGAATTCAGGGTTGTCCTGATGAACCTGGGGCTATGGGGCAGTAATTTGTGTTCTGTATGGTTGAGATTTTGTGTGGCATTGGAAGGAGTTCCACTGTGTGATACAAATTAGCGTTAAAAATATAAAGCTTCATAAAGTTCCTGTCAGGAACTTTTTTCAAATCAGAGGAGGAAAAAAAAGCAATTGCCTAGTATATAAAATACTAAAATATGATCACATGCACTACTCTATTAGCTGTGCAACTGAAGCATATACTTTTAGTCACCTCTTACTCATGTTGTTTCACATTAATGACTAGCAGTTTGTAATGTTGTCTGTTCTTACTAATTTACCATTTTAAAGAATCATTGGAAATTAGTGTAGCATTAGGTTAACTTCACTTTATGTCCCTGTTTCTGGCCTTCCCAGTGCTATGGAAAGACATTTAATCAGGATTTGAGGTACCAAGCTCCCTAATATGAGGATGAAAAGCTTCACTGGCTTTGGAGAAGCCTCAGGATGGGGCTGTTTAACCTCAGATTTTGTAGAGTCTTGAGGAATAGAGCATGCTTAAGCAGGGATCGCTACTAGTGGTTACAACTGCTAGTTGAAGTGGTGTCTGAACCTCCAGTTCATGTTTTTTACTGGTTATTTTGAAACTAATGAAGTAAAAACCACCTCAAACCAGTCGACCCAAACACCAGCATAGGGATGTTGGTGCCAAAAAGGGAGCATAACCTGAATAACAGAAAGTTAATGTGGCCATGCTACTGTAGTAATAGACTGAGGTATTATTTTTTAGGTACAAAAATGGTCACACTTTTTGTGCAGGACAGGGATGACAAGACAAGAAAGCATGCATGCTGGATATAGAAAAATCAAATAGCTTGTTCAATAATTATCACTAGTGCTGCCAATTCTATTTTGGCAGAGTATTCTAAAGCACTTTTTTAAAAATTATTTTTTATTGCTTAATTTTATTTTTTTTATTTATACTGCTCTTTACCTCTTGCCTTATTTTTCCAAACCCCGTTTTTTAAATGGCCTTCTCACTTGGCTGTTTGCTCTCTGAAAGTTTCTGCATCTTACCAGACTTGTTAGCCACTCTTTTGGCCAGACTTCGGTAAAAATGGAAGATTTAGAAATCTGGCACTCTTCTACAATCTCCAAAACAAAAAGGATTATTTTTTTTTAGAATGCTTTGCATATATTTAGCAGCTTGTGGGTGGATTTGGATGCTCCTGGGAGCTTAAACCTGTAGTACTGCTTGTGTCTGTCTCTTCTACTTCCTTGAACATGTAATTTAAGAACCTGTTGGCCTGTTTAGTCAAATTTGAGAGAAGGAAGAGTCTCAAAGATACTTGAGCTTCATAGGTTTGGTGAATAGCAGGTAGCTGAGTAATAGGGGGTTCCAGGAGCAGTAATAATTGCTGTGATTGCATATCTTACTGGGACCAGAGAATTCATGTAGGGCAGAGTAAGTAAGCAGACTTTGGGTTTGGCAACACTAAGTACAGCTCCTTATACTTTGTGGCATAGAAGAAAGTGAGAGCTCTCACTTGCAGCTGAAATATTGTGTAGTGACTGAAACCCCTCTTATGCTATTTTAATGTTTGTGTTACAACAGCAACTGAAAATCATGTGGCTGTAGCAGATGGGATTTTAATCCTTTTAATTATGATAGATTTTCAAAGCATGTTCTGGCTGTTTTGGTCAGCTGACTGTATAGTATGTACAATAACATCAAGTGATTGCACAAATTCTGAAAGCAGTGGTTGCCTCACTGGAACGGGATGTATTTTTAGGTCTCTCTGCTAGTAACAGTCAAGTGCATGTACTTAAGCATCTCATATGAACTGAAGCTAGTTGCTGACACTACACAATCAGAAAAGGACAGCTGTTCATTCTTGCTATGGTCATTGATCTGACACTATCTTCTCACCAAATTGTGGCAAGGAACACAATGGGGTATAAACACGTGTCATTGGTACATATTTTAATGACAGGGTTTTTCTTCAGGTCAGTAATGACACTTTTTGCTAGTTCTTTAAATTTTCTGTATTGGAGGAAATCGAAGCACTTTGTTACCTTCAGCAAGAATTTTCTTTTATCTCCCGTTTACCCAACAGTTTTTTCTTATACTAGGCAATGTTTGGGAGGAGGGTGTAGTGCGAGTGTTATATTGGTTATGGTTCTTCAAAGGAAAATGCTTTTAATCAATGAATCCAAGAGGTGCTAAGTTCCATGGATCACAAAATTAGCTTACAAAATAAGGTAACCATTTGTAGATTAATGAATGTGCTAATTCCTGAGATCTTGTCCAGTTATTTCATCAGTTTGATAGGGTGTGTTTTGTTTTTTTTTTTTCTTTTTTAGCCTTTAGACTTAATTTGCAATTTGATAATCGGGTTATATCAAAAGCCTTAACTAGTTTAAACAGTCCAGGAACTCATGACTGCCCAAAACAGCTGTTGAGCTTGAAGCCCAGGTAATAAAATTAAAAATGAAGAAGAGGACATTTAATATACATATAAAAGGACTTTGTAGTAATCTATAAATAAAATGTGACATTTTGAGTAAACTGAAGTTCTGCAGCAGGTGCTGTGAAGTTAAGGCTTGTAAGCAGGACATGTAATTTTACTGAATGTCCTGTTGATGGATCTACTGTTGTCCAAAGAGATTTTCAATTATGTATTCAGTTAAGGAGTCAAAGAATTTGAATTTCAAGAGAAATGGCAAACTAATATCAAACTTCTTAGTGACCAATAAAATTTGTATTTTTGGAAACTGGAAGAATAGGTTACTTGAGCTTTTTTATGGAACACACGCATAACTTTATAAAAACAATTACAGACATCTGTTAATAGAACTAAATTAGCATCTACGTATTGGTAAAACATGGTATTTTAGTGTCTGCTTTTGCTTTCTTGTACTGTCTGTTAGTGATAGGTGATGTTTTGGTCAGGCTTTGTCTTCCACACTTCAAAATTTTGTTTGCTTGTATGAAGTCATTAAGTTCTGATGCATATTAGCTTATATCTGAAAGGAGTCCAGGAGCCTGAGAAAAGCCAGTATCATCATGCAACTCAGGTTTCACAATCAGACTTGTAAAGACCAAGATAGTATGGTAGGGAGGAGGATGTTTTAGTGTCTTAATAGAATGTTCTTCTGTGTAAGCTCACATAGGCTATTTAAAGGTAGTATTTAATGATGGTTGACTAATTTAGGGTATGTCTACACAAATGGTGCAGGCAAACACAAGCTCAGTTGACTGCATTCTGAGCTGTCTGCATACAGGCCAGATTTGGCCTAGAAGCAATAGAACAGTGCTAGCATAACATAGCATTGTATGAGCCAACACACCTTCGGCTCCAGAAGCGGTTCACTTCTGGCAGGGCACGCAGCTTTCTGGTAAGTAAACTTTAAAAAAACCCACTAACCAGCCAAACAAAACAACACCCCCCAAAAAAACCCAAACCCAAAACTGAACCACCAAAAAAGCCCCCTGAAACCATTGAACATATTTATGGATAACTGATTAAATTAAGCCTTACCAGATTAGGCTCTGTGAGGGCTCTTTCATTATGGACTAGCAATTGTCTGTGTCAGGGCTGTTTCCATTTTGTGTTAAGCACTTTAAAACGCGCACATAACATAAGAGCTTCCTTTTGATCTCTGCTTACCTGTTGACTTAAGAAAAACTAGAGTTTGGTTTCAGTATTGGTTTAAAAGTCCAAAATTTTCATTGGTCTAGCAACAGACAGGCTGCTGTGTTTGGCAGGAATTACGTTGAGAGGGCTTTGCTGGAAGAAGTAAAAAAATCTCCAGATAAGTCAATTTTCTCATTTTAATTCTTTACTGAAAACATTTCAGCTCTTTGCAATAGTTGCTATCTGACTTAATATGCAAGCTGAAAACAGGTTGTGTGCCAGAAGGGTTTCATAAAATGTTTAGCCAGTCAGTCACTGAGTTCAGTAACTGATGCACTTGATAATTTATTCAAATCTTACGAGGTGTATAAACATTAAGGTGTGGTGGGGAAAACTCAGCTGTGTTTTGCCTGCTAAGTGTATCACATATGCTTCTTTGTTAGAAGTGTTCAGGAGAGTAGGTGGCTAAAATATTTGAGTTATCCAAATTACGATGGATGAGGGGGATGATGCTACCTAAAGTTGGTATGGATTTCAAAGCATTAAAAAAATACGAGTGAGTGAAGTGTCACATAAATTTCTATTTAAATGCTTTAGATTAGAGTGTCTAAAAAGCAGTTTTGTTTCCTGTTACCTTCAGTTTGAACAAAAGGAATAATATTAAGCAGTTTTATTTTTACAGTTTAGTTTCTGTAAGCATTTATTTTTCAAGGAAATCACTGGAGGGTGGAGAGTGAGGAAAATACAGAATTGAGCAATATATTTTTGACACAGTGTTTTGAGGTTTGGCTTTGTGCAAGTCATTCTCTGATTTTTCTGAACTGCACTCCCTAGTGCTATCAATTCTGAGAAGGAGTTTGTTAGAGCATAGGGGAGAGGTTGGTTACTTGTGTGAGCCTGCACTCCAGCTGGTAACAATTCCAGAGCTTCTCCAAGTATGGTGCAAAGATAAAAAGTTTACTCTCTTCCCCTTCACCCCCTACCCCCCCTTTTTTTTTTCTTCCATTCCACCACAAGGAATTGAATATTTTGTGTGTGTCAGTATGTTTTAGTATTATGCAATGAGTTTTGTTTGGATTTGTATTGCTCTTTGATCTTGTAAAGTTGTTGAGATACCCTTACACTCAGAACTGCTGGTATTACCAGTACAGCTATAGGATGCATTAAAAAATTCACCTATTACGGGTTGAACTGGAGGTATAGATAAGACCTTGTTGGGCAGTAAGTTTTACATAAAAGATTTCAGTGAAATAAGAGGACTTAGTTAATGCATAGTATAATTGTTACCCTTGGGCAGCAACTACTATGAAAATAAGGGAAGAGCTATAGGCTATGGATGAAGACGAATGAAGAGCTGTTGTAAAGGACTGTTGTCAGAAGCATGGAACAGGGGAAAATGGGACACAACAGGAAACCGTAATGCATGCTGAGGGCTGCAGATTGCTTTCCACAGAACTGCATGAAGAGAGTATCAGAAGTTTCGATGGTAGCAAGTAGACCAGGGAATAGGTTGCCTCTGTTTCATTTGGAGAACTGGAGATGAGGATGAATCTGGCTTCCTTTAATTGTCTCCTTACTCTGTAGAGCTGTATGATTTATGATTTTAGGTAGTAGGCCATAGAAGTAGTAGGAGAAAAAACCGTATTTTGTTTTCATTGAGTCTTCCGTTTGTACTGGGAAGGGGAAAAGAGCTATTCCAGAGGGATGACTATATATCATTTTTTGCCTAATCTCTATGTATTATACCTGGTGTATAAATGCATGTCTGTGTCTTGAACCCTGATAAATGGGTATCTTTAATTTTCAGATGAACATTTAAATACCATTTCTTTGAGATAAAATGTCACATTTTCTTAAAATGGCTACTAATCAGCTCACATTGTGTTAATACATATCTTTCTGTACATGCAGAAGATGAAAAACTGCAAATAAAAGTAAATATTAGCAATATTGAGTTACATTCTATACTTTTGTCTCTTTTTTACTCAGAATTGGATTTACAGTCATGGAGGAACATCAGCAACATTTACACTGTGTGAACTGTGTCAGCCGTCGTTGTATGACCAGACCAGAGCCTGGCATTTCCTGTGATCTGATTGGCTGCCCGTTGGTTTGTGGAGCAGTTTTTCACTCATGTAAAGCTGAGGAACATCGCATGTTATGTCCACTTGAAAGAGTGCCTTGTTTGAACAGTGGCTTTGGATGTCCCTTCATAGTAGCCCGAAATAAAATTGCTGATCATCTAGAAGTTTGTCCTGCAAGTGTAGTATGTTGTACCATGGAGTGGAATAGATGGCCAGTCAGTTACGCAGACCGAAAATCTTACGAAAATCTGAGTAAAGATGTTGATGAAGTGGAGCAACTAGATATGGCTTTAGCCCTTCAAGACCAGCGAATGTTATTAGAATCACTTAAAGTAGCAACTATGATGTCAAAAGCAGGTGATCAAATACCAGAATCCAGAGAGCAAACCTCTGTCAAATCAAGTGCCCCAGATACAGTGCATTCAAATGGTTTAATGCCAGTAGATGAAGAGTCTTATGGTGCTCTTTATCAAGCTACTGTAGAAACAACAAGGAGCTTAGCTGCTGCTCTGGATATCCTGAACACTGCTACAAGGGACATTAATATGTTAAGTTCAAGCCTCTGCAGTTCACCACAGGAAATTAAAGAAGATACTGAGATTAAAGAGCAAGCTTCTAATGGCATTATTAAGGATAAAAAGTCTGACCATGAATATCCAGATGAAGATAACATAGGAGCAGTTGGGGGGATAAAGTTTGACAGCCTGAGTCAAAACTCACAAATGGAGCAAAATGGTTCTAGTGATATTTGTTATGATGTGGTGCAAAAACATGACTTAAATCTAAACCTCAATAACTCCTCAGTTTTGTGTAATGGCTTTCATGTAGAAAATGAATGTTCAAAGGTGTTGGACCAGAATGAAGATCTTGGTGTATCTAATTCAAAACCGTCCAGTGTAGCAAATGGTGAATGTACTGCTTCTCATGATGATGAAGCATTAGAGTCTTGCAGCTCCCTCCCTGTAACAGCACAACTTAAAGAAGTAGTATCAGCTGATCACTTAGTTAATGGCAGTGTTAATCATGTACTACTTCCCCATAATGCTAATGAAGAAGAAATATTAGAGAAACAAGTGGAGCAAGAAAGACTGAGAAATGTAGATGCATTTTCACTTTTACGGCGGCGATCGTACAACTTCATTGTTAACAACTATTGGTCTACATTAAAAGAAGACAAAGCTGTTGATACATCAGATTTGGAGATAACAGAAGATCCTATGGGTCTTCAAGGGATTGATCTAATCACTGCAGCTCTGTTGTTTTGCCTAGGAGACTCTCCCGGTGGTAGAGGGATATCAGAAAGTCGTGCTGTTGATGTGTATCGCATTGACTTTGGGACCCAAACATTTTCTCTCCCATCTGCTATACTGGCCACGAATACAATGGTGGGGGAAATAGCTTCAGCTTCTGCATGTGATCATGCCAACCCACAGCTCTCAAATCCAAGTCCATTCCAGACCCTTGGACTGGATTTGGTATTGGAATATGTGGCTAGATACCAAACAAAACAGCGTTCAATGTTTACATTTGTTTGTGGACAGTTGTTTAGGAGGAATGAATTTTCATCGCATTTTAAGAATGTGCATGGTGACATTCATGCTGGCCTTAACGGCTGGATGGAGCAGAGGTGTCCTTTGGCATATTATGGGTGTACATACTCTCAACGAAGGTTTTGCCCTTCAACACAAGGGGCAAAAATTATTCATGACCGCCACTTACGGTCATTTGGAGTTCAGCCTTGTATTTCCACAGTATTAGTAGAACCAGCAAAAAGCTGCTTAATTGGACTACACAATGACCATCTGAGTAGTCTACCTTTTGAGGTTCTGCAGCACATCGCTAGTTTTCTAGACGGTTTTAGTTTATGTCAGCTTTCCAGAGTGTCACGTTTAATGAGAGATGTGTGCGGAAGCTTGCTTCAAGCACGTGGAATGGTGATACTACTATGGGAGAAGATAAAGTGTGCAGATAGAAGTTCCTGGCAGATAAAAGAAAAGGTAAGTTATTTAATTCTGAAGGTGAAAGGAAAAGTATTAAATTGGTTGTGTCTCTGCTTTTTGCCTTAATATTTTCCTTGATCACTGTTGTTATTCCTGTTTTTTTTGATGCAATATCCCTTCAAGAAACAGCTTGTTGTACAGAACAACAATTAGTTAAAATTGATAGCAGGTTTGTTCAGTCTTTTCCACACTTGAAGAAGTACTGCTGGTCTAGTTTTTACTTGATTTAAATAAATGAGCTTCTTTTTCCCAAGGTTTATAAATATTAGGTGATTACTCTTCAATATCAGTATTCCATGAAAGTGCAAAAGTTGCCTACAAAGTTTGCTCTTTTAGGCTTATGCTGTTTACAGCAATTTTAATTGTTGCTATCCAGTTGAGATCCAATCCATTGCCATGATATTGAGTGCCTTAAGGATGTAAGTAATTGTTAAAACCTTTGGGTGACCTTTATATAGTACAGTTTTCACCATCCCAGTCTCCCCTGACCTGTGGAGCTATCTGCAGCAATCCTTTAGAATTGCAGAAGTTGATCACTTCAGAATGATTGTTGTGACTGGTCATGCAATACTTAGTCATTTAACTTCTGATTTCATCTACTTTGTAGATGCGAAAATTACTGCCTGTCTTTTTTGCCAGTGTTCAGAGTTGACTTGGAATCTGACTCATGCGGAGACTGATAATACAAAATTTAACATTGTATATTTTGGTCATGTTGTATTTTAGTATCATTTATAGTAGATGTAAAGCATTGCCTGAAAGCATTACAGCATAAGGATTTCAATCCTGCTCTGAGTTCAGGTACCTTAAAATATTGTGAGCCTAAGTGCAACTTATTTTCTAGGTTTGGCGCTTCAGTACAGCCTTCTGTACTGTGAATGAGTGGAAGTTTGCTGACATCGTAAGCATGGCTGACCACTTGAAGAAATGTAGCTATAATGCTGTAGAGAGAAGAGAGGAGGCTGTTCCGCTGCCATGTATGTGTGTAACAAGAGAACTCACTAAAGAAGGACGTTCACTGCGCTCTGTTTTGAAACCAGTACTTTAAATATTGCAGCCACTCCAATTGCACATACACTCAAGCACCTGATATAACCTCAGTAATCTTATGTGACACTTTATTAATGTACTAAAGATACTTTCTAGCTAAATCTACTCTGTCACTGTGTATATAAGGTTTGAAGTGACATTTATTTTTTATAATACTGTTTAGCTGGAAAGTAATGAAAGTTGCCTTAATGTTTGAAAAATTCGGAACTTGCTGGACAGGGTAGTTCTATCTAACTTATATAATTTAAGAACAAAATCCTGGTGTTTTCTGGTTCACTGGTGCCCATGTTGCTGTTGACTGATAACATTTCAAAAATTGCCTCCAAATGGTATGCACATTTAGATAGGAAACACTGAATTGTACTTTCTGTATTTGGTCTATTTTTTTTAATAACAAATTCTAATCCAAATATTTGAAAGATAAGGAAGAATTCAAAACTTTGTAATAGAGATCTCAAACACAGCTTTTAAGCACATCTTTTCTCATTACATCAGTGTTCTACTGCTCTTGCTAGTTTACAGGTGATCTAAGATGAACTTTTTTCTGAAGTTTTTGTTGTTTTTTTTTTTTAGCAGCAATCTAAGCAAACTCAGATTTAAAGCAGCTCAATTTTTAGTACAACTTTCTTTTGACATATCAACAATGATTATTTCTTTTCTGAACTATTAACAAGTTATTTCACTTTTGGGAGCAAAACTTTTAGAGCTAAAAACATGGAATACTAGTTTTACTCTCGCACCTACAATGATATTGATTTAAAATATTTTTCCTTGTCCTGCAGTTGGCTGAGGGTTAAATTGCTTGAGGATTCAGAAATTCAAAGTATGTGATGAACAGTTACAAATTATAATGCAGCTAATGAAGCAGCTTTACTTGTTCTATGGTGTTGTGAGATATATTGTCTCCTTTTCTGTTAACCTGTCTAAACAAATGCTGCTTTTTGAGGAGCATTTTAAATCACTGGCATATATAGGAAATGTATCATCTTCGTAAGATGATACATGATTTGTTAATTGCATAAGGCATATCAGAAATATATGTTCAACCACATCCGTTAAGCAAACAACTCCAATTTGCTTCCAGTCTTCTGTAATAAAAGAGCTCACAAAGTGTTTGTGAACAGAGAAGACATGCTATGAAAAATGGCCTGATATAGCAAATCTGTAATAACTTGAACCGACTTTCCAACTTGTGTGTATTAATTTCGGTGTCTGTAGCCTGTTGCACTTAGCAACTGTGCCACAAAGCTAAAACAGAAACAGACCAGAGCATGGAACAAAGAAATACAGACTGTATTTCCATTATAGGACAAAATAAGAGATTAGTAAGGAGGAGATGTTTACAAAAATGGCTAAATTTATTACTCATAATTTCTGTACTGGACACTTGTTTATGGCTACTCTGGCTACAGTTCGCAACTTTGCTATCTGTGCATTTCCCATTCTGGCTCCAGTCCAGCTAAACATTCACTGCCTTTTTTTATGCAGAGTGCTGCAGGTGCCCAGAAAAAAATCAAATCTATTTCTTCAGTGCCATGAGTTGAAATTAGAAGAGCTCAAACAGCCTTGACCTTCAAACTACATGTTCTTTTTCCACAATTTCTCTTCGTTTATTTTGTTTGGGGAGAGGAAAGGAAAGTAAACCCTCTACAGAAGTTAGCAATATTTGCAATAATTCTTAGTTGTTACCACAGCTATCTGGAAAGGAGAATTTAGATTCATGTATAAATCTGACTACATCAACTGTGTTTTAGGTAGGGATTTTAAACACACCCCCTATCCCCACCCTTGTTGTCTTAGTAAAATGCTCATTACCCACAAATTCTTCAATACGTGGCAGGAAGGAGACTTCCATCGGTTCTGTTCTTTTAGCTCTAATGGCTCCTTGCTGCTGCTCTCTGGTGTTTAAAAGTGGTTGTGTGATTGGAAGGATCCTGAATGTTGAGGAGTTTATGCTTGTGTTTATGGCTAAATGTACTTTTAAACATCTGTTTTGGGTTACTGGTATTTTTTAGTCAGCAGTGTGGTGGTTTCGGTACTTGGCATTCTTTGTAACTACCCAGAACCCTGGTAAGTATGGTATGAAGGCGTGTGTCGAGGTCGCTTAGGGGAAGAGGGTGTTCAGCTAGAGGAACTGGTGTCGGTAGAATCTTGCTTGTAGCACAGTGCAGATCTACATCTAAAGTATCATCAGTTGTTGATCTATTAAAATGATTTTTTTAACTACTTGGTGTTCTTCTTAAGAAATAACACTATTTCTCAATTCATGCACTTTTGTTTTCAAATGTAGATACAGGCTTTTATGTTAAATTAGTTTATTTTTTATGAGAATCCAGAGCTATTAAAATACCAATGTTGTAAACAAAATCTCTGCCTTGTAAACTGCTCCAAATGCAGGAATACAATGTAGTTAGGATAAAAACTTTTTTACACTGCTATGCAGTTGGTAAAACATCTGTGATATATATTAGTCTATGAAAATGTGGCTTGTTCATATTTGCCCTTCAATTTTAAAAATGTTGTATCCCCTTCCTGGTACATCTTCCTTACAGCATATATAGACAGCTGTTCCAGTTTTTCTTTTACTTGATACCACATTGCTACTTTGTTTAAAATACTATGTTTTCGATCATTATGCAATATTTTTTTGCAATGTCTGTTGAAATTCTAATAAAACTTTTGGAGTTTCTCTTTTAGTATGATTGTACTTCTTGTAAAGCTTATCATCAGCCTCCCAGCGTTCAAACATGGTGCTCAATGAATGTCTGCCTCTAGAATTTCATTAAGTACTCAAAAAATTAAGTTAAATAAAGGAATCTATTTTCAAATACTTTAAACATTGTACAGTTTGGAAGTGATAAATATATGTTCACTTCAGTATGAAGATCGGTCATTTTTTTTTATACTGTACGCCCACTTCTACTGCTTTGGTGCATTATGCACCATAGGTTCCCTTCCACATTTAAAGATTTAACTGTAACATTGAAGATTCATATTGTGCCTTGTAGGCTTGTTTTAATTGTTTTGTTTTTTTTTTCTGAATAATCAGAATATCAGATCAATATGATAGAGAACTGTTATGCAAAGAACATTTTTAGTGCATTGTCTCACGAGTGGAGTTTTCTATAGAAAGTTGTTGCTTAAAATGGTACAAAAGATAATAGTTGTAGTTCAGACTGACTGTGGAATGGCAAAACCAAAATACAACTAAAATAGAAGACTGCCCAGAAATTGGCCTTTTGCCCTGCCAGTTGCTAGTATGAGTATGCTAATAGTCTTTAAAAATAAAAATGGACCTATAATACATAAATTTGATAATAAATTAATCTAAACTCAGTGTTGTGGTGTGACTCATGTTTTTATTTCAGTTGTTAGAAACTTGTGACTATTTTACTTATTAGGCCATGTTAGCATTTTATTTTTCTCTCTCCATAAGTGGATTAGATATTCTGCTGTGCAAGGAAATATTTTTTGTTTCAGTTTAGCTTTCTTGATGTTTAAAGTGTTCTAGAGGATCTGCATGTATGCTTTAGCTTTGTTTTGTGAGAAAACTGCTGCTAGAGCTAGCTTCATAGGCTCCTACCTGCTGACTGTACTTTCCTAAAATAAAGATTTAAGTTCAATGGAGAATTCAGTACTTGCTGTAGTATCAGAAAGGTGGTTTAAATTCTTTCAGTCAGTATCTCTTCAGGTGGCTTTGGTCATCTTCAGATGAACAGAATCTAGTGCTTATTTACAGCACTGAGGGGAAAAATGGCATTTGGATAGTGTTTATAAAGAGTTATGGCATGTAAGGCAGAGATATTTTGAAGAATGAAGTTTTCAAAGTATGACTGTGCTGCATGTGGTGAATATTGCAGCAATAATCCAAACTGGAGGGCAAAAGTGAATGGAGAAGTAGGCTTAAAATAATGAAGACATCCAGTCCTAGCGTAGAGATGCTTCTGAGGGCTGGAATTTTGACTTATGCACGCTGCAACTGTGTTTTACTGATTTATCAGTCTTTTCATGATAGCATGAGTTACCATGCTGCTACTTGATCTCTGATGTGCTTTAGTTGTCAGCTGTTTCCAAGTGCTGTCTGCATGCCTGAATCAAGTACTGAGTAGAATGCAGTCCTCTTCACTGAATGTGAGATGTTTTTGGTGTACCTTCTACATGCTGGTGGTGTCAGAGGCAATATTGCTAAGAATAATATCAAAATAAGGTCCTTCGGATATGGAGGATTCATGTGTGTGGTTTCCATTGGTATTTGCCTGAAAAAGGGAGCAAAAAATGTGTTAGGGAATGCAAGGAGCAAAATAAGAAGACTGCTAGCATTCAGTACAGCTTGCTAATGGCCTGGCAGTCAAAAAAATGTTATTAAACATCATTAGATGCACTGTGAAATGTGACAGCAAAACTCCGTGCTTCTGCCATTTTGACAACACAGATTCTGCAACACATGCAGTAGAAGGTAGGCAAACATAGGCTCAGGAGTAGAAAAATGCATACAGAATGAGTATGCATGACTTTTACAGCAAAATATTGGGGGGAGCAGAAGCTGGAGTTTTGTGAGTATGAATTCACGTAAGGCTAGATTTGTACAATCAGAAAATGTGATTTCTGCCCTAAGGATATTAAATGTTCTGGTGCTTAGTTTCATCCTAAACTGTGCTGGTATTTATTTAGAATCATACTATGAATCAACTGTTGAAAAATCGGAAAAGTTGCAATGACCATACGAAATTATTTCCTTGACAATGTCATCATGTAGTATCCAACTGAGAATTTTACAATATAAAAAACAGAACATAAGAAATAAAGGCATATTTTACAATCTAAGATTTACTTCACCCCCCAAGATATGTTTTCAAGCATGTAACAAAAAAGCTATCTTCAAGCTTATTGTGATTTAAACAGAGAGAATTCTGCTAGCAGGACAAAAGCTGGGTTGCATTAGTATTTTCATGTGAGCATCCCAGCAAAGAGGTTGGCTGCAGAACAAAACTAATCTGCTTATGTGACTGGTTAGCAAATGAACAGTCGATGACCTGGCAGGAATGTGTGATGGACTTTGGTCAGAAGTGTTAATGTTTGATTGTTATGTGTTGTGTAATCTTCTGAATATTGTGTACTCTTTAGTATTGTAATTATATAGTTGTGTTCCACATGTAATTCCAGAGGCCTTTGCAGCGGACAGGAAATAACGTGCTGCTTATAAGGTTTCAACCTTGGTTAAGGTAAAATATTACTGTTATGAATGGTGGCAGTTGTTCATGAGCATCTGGAGTTTCACATCATTGCATATCTCAAGAGTGAGGGATGAGTGGATGCCTTGTTGCATAAGCAATGTGACTTCTAAGGAAGACTAATTTTGTGTGGTATCTTACTGTGCACATACTTTTTGTTTATATGCAGATGAATAGGATGTTCTGAAATTAATGGTGCCATAACACTAACTTCTCAAGTAGGATACTTGAGTGTTCACATTTCAGGTAATTTGGAATGTGTGCCAGATGGGTATCACAAGCTAATGTTAACCAGGATTGAAACCATTATCTTTTCTATCCAAGGTGGGGCAGATCTCTGGATCATTAAATCTGTTTCTGATCATTAGATTAGGATACCTGAAGGAAGTCTCTTTTTTCAAAGTGATAAAGAGGCAGATTGTAAGCAAAAAAAAAATAAAAAAATGGTTCTCATTCTGACTGAGGCAAAAAACCCCCTGCCTTATCTGTAGAACTTCCTCAAATCCCACTTCTCAATTTAATCCATGAGTTCTTCTGTGGGTACTTCTCCCTGAGCTCAACTCCTCTGGAGAGTGAGTCATGGCAGCTGAGCTCATGTTCAAAGAGTTATGTATGCCTGTTCTCCTCCAAAATCATTAAATGCAGTCTAGTAGCTTGGTTTACTTTGGTTAAGTTGAAAAGTTTCTCTTCAGTGCTTAGGTATGATACAGTTCCTGTGATCATTGGTTATTGGTTGTGGTCTGAGAATGGGAAGCTCTCCAAAGAGAGGTGGAGGTTAGGAGTGGGAGCCTCTGTGAGAAGAGACTAGAGGCTGCCCCATGCTGAGGAATTGGTTCTAGATGACTCTGCAATGGACCCACTACTGGCTGAAGCTAAGCCCATCAATGAAGCTGGCGATGCCTCTGAAAACATATTTAAGGAAGCGTGAATAACAATGTGCAGCAGCTGTGAGAGAAGAGTGCCAAAAATGAGAGCAACAGCTCTGCAGACACCAAGGTCAGTGAAAAAGGAGGAGGATGAGGTACTCCAGGCACTGGAGCAGAGGCTCCCCTGCAAACTGATGAGGCTGTGGTGACTTGTTTCTCAGGTGTGGTCATCTGCACTCAAAAGGAAAAATCATGTGCGTGGAAAAAAGGACTATCCTGTAGTCACTGGAAGACTCTTTGAGATGTAGTGTCCATATGCATGTTTATGCCATTTCCAGTGGGGCTTGGAAGCTGGAAGGAACACCGAAGGGCTTGGGAGGCTGGGATACAAGGCTTACTGTGTTGATTTGCGCCATCTATGAGATGAGGAGGTCCTGTGACTCTGCACAGTAGGTGGGCACCACCCCTGCTATGTGAGAGAGTAGAACCTGACCATATTATGAAGGTCCTAGCTCAGACTAAAAACTACTTGGATTAAAATTATTGAATGCATATGCACTCACATTATGAATTAGCAATAATAGCAAAAAAAATTTGCTTCTAATAGCTAAATTTCTTGATTCCTCTTACTTAAGTGGTTGAACAGTTTTGACTTGGGGTTTTGATCCAGAGTATGTGTTGAAGCCTTAATTGGATTTGTCATCAGGGTTGCAGTGTTAATGACAGAGTAAAGTGGGTTGTGTGGTTTAATGCCATTGAGCAACATCATTCAACTGGAAAGCCGTAATTCTGTTTTGCAGGGAAAAAACCCCACAGGTTTTCATCTATATTTTTCTTATGCTTTGGAATGAAACACAAACATTTTGGTAGAGTTTATGAACCCTAGAAAGCAAGCAAGCAAGATACAGATGTTCAAAGGAACAGATGAATGGTCAGGACATTTCATATGTAGAAGATCCAATCTCCAAATGATGCAGAAAATGAACATTCAATAGTAAGTTGCTGTTTCTCACATCATAATCACTGAGAGCTGCTTCTGAGTTCTTGATTTCACCTTTCTCTCATCATAGAATTAATGATGTTAAATTATTCCACTGCTGTCCCAGAGTAACACAGAGAAACCTGTCTGAAATAGTTACCATATACAGATGTGTTAAACGAGGATGGACAGAACATCCCTAGGTGAAATAACAGTGAGAAATCTTCAAATTTGGCAGAGATTGTGAATAATTTATGCTTTCACAATTAGTGAAGATAAATTTTAAGTGGTCTTTAATTTTGCTCTAACCACAGGTACATTCTCAGCAACAGTGGGCTTGAGAAGCACTACTAAAGTGAGAGAGGTTACGGCTTGTGTTTGGAGCATTCTGTTTGAGCTACTCTTTCTAAGACAGAAGTTAGATGAAAAACTTTAGACACTATTTGTTCCTGAGAACAGCACACAATGTGGTTGAATATTCCCTGGCAGTTGTGGTGACCTGACAGAGGTCAAGGAAGAGTTTACAAGTGGTCAACTGAAGCATGCTGTGCTACTTTGGATCTTGAGCCAAGTACCTGACAGTTGCATGAAGATCATACGAGAATGCTTTTCC